GCAGGCGTTCGAAGAGCTCTCCGGCATTCACAGGCATGTGGCCCTGCAGCACGCCGGGGACATCGGGCAGCAGGCAGGGCTGGCGGCGAAGCAGGCAGCTGCTGAAGTGAGCTCTTCGAGCGGCCCGGCTCCTGCGGGCAGCGTGGACGGGCTACATGGGCACTCGCACGGCAGTCCTGAGGTCTCCTGTGCGCTCCCAGACACAAGCCATGTCAGCTATGATGATCTGACAAGGTACGAAAGTCCCTCAGCAGTTTGTACATCCAGTACTGGCTGGGAGTGGGTTGTTGGGCTGCTTAGACTTTACGTGATCTTCTGCCAGTACTACTTTTTTTTTTTTTTTTGTGAAGTTCTGTCAAGTGACACTTTAAGATATAGAAGGACTCTTCCCTGATATTTCTTTAAATATTCAGATGCTTTGGATACCTTCCTGAGATACTACTTTAGATCAATAGATGTAGGTACCTTCCAGGAGTCGCTTGGTTTATTTGAATTCCTTTCACAACTGTTCATGCCTGTATAAAACATGCAAATTACCACTGTGCTGATACAGAAGTAGATATGCTGCATTTTTTGATGGTAAAGGTGGGAACTTTGAAGGGTTGAACTATCACAGGTATATCATCCTGCATTGTTTAAGCAGACCCATACAGACGTTACTTGACAGCTTAGAGCTGTAAGTAAGGAAGGACCGTAACAGAAAAGAGCAGAACGGCAAGGTATGCTCTGCACAGGTCCCTTTTCTTTGTTTGTTGGGGGGTTGGACTAGGTGACCTTTAAAGGTCCCTTCCAATGCAAACTATTCTACGATTCTGTAAGTACATTCGCAAAAATGTTTCTGACTGTGAGAGTGTTTGGCTTGTGCTGCTCAGAATGGCAGTGCACGTAATCTCACTGAAAATTTTTGCTTTTTAATTTAGATAGCTCAAGCACTTGACTTTTCAAGTGCAAGTTTGTCAAGTAAAGCATTTAATGGGACACTTGTTTACACAGAAAATGGCAGTTCTCGTGTCCTGTGTGTTGAGAGAAACTTGAGCACGTGATAGGCCACTGGCAGAGACGTCTGGTGTGGCACAGATGAGTTCATTGTGTAACCAGTCCTGAGAACCAGGAATAGGGGAGCTTTTTTAGTTCATATTCTCCCTCTTGGAAATAAAGCAAACCAAGCAGTGCTGATCCCTCCAAAGTTTTTGTTGTTTTGGTTTGGTTTTCTCTCCACATCTGCCAGAAGAAAATTGTCTGGTTTTGAAGGGTTAATGCAATACTGCATTTTTGTGCTTTCAATCCTAACATCCTTTTCCTATTTGTTCATCTTTGCCGTGCTATGGACAGCAAGGTGGGAGAAGTACTTCTGTATTACTGTTACTGTGAGGTAAAGGATCCAGAGAAACTCTGTGCTTGGCAAAAGGCTCTGTGCCAGCATCTGCATCTCACTGGCAAGGTAAGGTTTTAAGCAATGGTGGTGTTCTTAAGAAAAAAACACCTTTGCTTAATGCGGGATGATGGGGCATGTGGAGAAACAAGTGTTTTGCACCAGAAGATGCTAGGCTGTTATGATCCCGTTAAGAAAGGCACTCAGATTCAGTAAAGTGCCATTTAAAATGCTATTTAAGAGCTAATGCTACAAAGAAAAAGAAAATAAAACAGATAATCTTAGTGTGTCACTAACTCCTCAATGCGCAGTGGTCTTCCAGTCAGAATCATTACCCGAGGTGTACTCCATACTGTCAGGAATGAGATGAGAGCAACTGACACCTTAGATCACACCATAGGATAGCAGTGCTCATTCCTGCAGAGTCTTTGTTCTTTTAATTCCTGCCAGACTAGACCAAGGAGGTGAGTTGGCTCATTTAGCTGGCCTCTTGAGGCTGTGGGCAAAGGTGAATTTTAGCCTCATGAAGCTGATGTTCCTAGGCTATCTGTGGGGAGAAGGATTTTTCAAGAGGGCAACTCAGAGCAGGAGGCTACTTTTACCTTTGAGCTGGCTTTCTAAGTAGCTTCTCTTTCTCTGCCAGTGGTAGGCACCTTCCCTGTTCTACATCAGCACAGGTTTGGGAGTGAAATGTCCTGATGCATTCACTTCTTTTTTTGCTCAGCTATCTTGTCTGGTGGTTGCTATTTTTCTCAATTTCTTTTTTTTATTCATCTCCAAGACACGAACAGTATTTGCCTTCTCAGCCAGTTGGTTTTTTCCTTGCCTCTTATATTTAGTCTTTTTTTGGTTTTGGTTTTTTTCCTCCACTAAAGAGTTTTTGTTCATTTGTCAGTCCTGGAGATAAAATGAGTCACACTGAAATTTAATATTACATGCAATATTATGTATATTCACATTTTCCTTTCAGCTGTGTGACTCATTGAGCACTAATTCCATTGTGCTTCCCGAGGCAGACTTCCAGTGGGAATTTTAATGCTGACTGCAGGATTTGCCTGTTAACCAGTTAACATTTCTGTTTATCGCACAAACTTTTCTGACTCTCACATGTCATTCTTTTGATATGGCTCCAGAGTGATTACTGGGGTTTCATCCCCATTTTATTTACTGTCGTCTTTATGTTCAACTTCAGTATAACCATCTTTCCCCCCCCTTCCCCCTTCCCTTCCCCCCTCCCTTCCCTCTGTGTCTGCCTTTTGTCACTCAGTCATATTTTGCTAATTTCACTGTGATCTGGTTTTCCTATTACTAAGTCTTAGCCCCAGCTTCTCCTCTTGCCTTCTAGGTACGAGTTGCTTCAGAAGGGATTAATGGGACAGTTGGTGGAAGCAAAGTAGCTACCAATCTCTACATTGAAGTTATGCTTTCCCAGCCACTGTTCAAAGGCATTTTGTGTCAAGAGGATTTCAAGGTATGAAAACACTAATTTCTACACAGGTATTGTTAGGGCAGGATGTTTAATTTTTGAGAAATAAGTGCATTGCTTCTTGATAGTATTACTTCTGCTTTAGCAGTTCTGCTCTCTCAGCACTGATCTAAGCCAAGGGTTCGTAACCTTGCTTTGTTTAGATAGGTCTGCCAGTTTTCACCAGCAGCAGCAGTTATCGTGAGCAGTGGTAGCAGCTGCTACAAGCTTTGGCAGTTATGGGTGCAGTTGCAAGACAAACCTTAGAGGTGAATGAGGGAGCATGCTTCAGCCCCACCATTCTTCAACAAGCATTTCCTCCAACTTTACTGCCAAAACCAAGGCATTACAATGTATGCTTACCCAAGCAAAGGATTCCCACGCTCTCCTCTTCACCCTGATTTGAGATCCTCGCCTAGAAGTCTACTGGTTTAGGTTCATGCAGGCTTTGGCATCCATAGAGATGCACTGTCAGTTCCGTGAATTCAGTGTCTTCTAGGGAAAATACAGAGTCAAGAGGTTTCTCCCTACTCCAGTTAGTGCCTGACTGGAGGGAGAGTGAGGTGCTAACTTCTGCTTGAGCCTGAGCATATGTGTCGACTGCTGTCTTCAGATGGTGATGGCGGCTGTGGCTGGCACCATATTGCATTTTGGTAGGCTTTTGCTGCCCCAGCACTGTAGGTACTGCTTCCTCTGTGATGAAGGAAAGCTGCTGCTTTTACAGCATTTTTCTTTTCCATGCAGTTTTATTTGCAGGGAGTATTATTTTGGTTTCCCATAAATAACTAGATAAAAGGGAGTTAGTGAAACTCAAATTCCACGTAGAGCTGCAGTGCTGATTCACTCTTAGGTTTTTAATTGTCTGTTGTGCTTGGCTGAATTTCAAGGGTAAATGTGTCCTGTTAGTTACAGTGACATGTAGATGCAAAACCAAAACAGGGATAGAATTTTACCTTGACACTGACAAAACCTCCAACCCTGCATGATCTGTCTGGGCACTGACACTCATGTGTTAGTACATGATTGTATTTTCAGTCTCTCAATTCCTCTGCATGCTGTATATGCAAGTAAGTGGCAATTTCAGGTCCCTGTGCCATGAAGACATGGGTGTAAAGGAGTGAAAATTGCACTTGGGGCTACAAAAATAGTAGCCACTGTAGTTGCTGCAGACTGATTTCTGTGATAACTGGGACAGTGGAGCACAGCACTGCGTTTTTGTTTGAGTGTTTATATGCTTGATTGTGCCAAAGCCACATTTGAGGCTCAGCCCTGCTGAAATTCTCATGTCCTGTCACCTGCAGCAGGGGTGCCTACCAAAAAGAGCTTGCCGAGACCTCCAAAGGGGAAATCCTGCACTTGAGTTTGTGGGGGGTGAGGAGGTGTCAGACTCCACTGTTAACAAATCTCGAGGCTGACTGACCTCCCGTATGTCTCTTTCATGCCCATGAACCACTGCAGTTCCCATCGTGTATGTCATGACTGGAGGCCTAGCTGTGCTCATGTTGGGGGTCAGAGGGGCTGAAGAGAACTACAGGGCTCAGATGTGTCCACATGATCCATTACTGGAGGAGATTATTTAAGGTTCCTGTCAGAATCAGCATGCTCTGTATGGGCTTTGACTTTCTCATGATAGGTGCTAGTGGCATTTCATTTCTGATGAAGATCTGTTCTTCCCGCTCCTTGGTTACTTTGCTCCTCGTACCAAATGGTGCCTGCTACAAGCAGAATAGTCAGTGGGCCTAAGACACCTGTCTGCCAGGTCATGGTAGGGGTCCACTTCCTAAACCTCAGGATTTAGAGTGTGGATGTCAGCGGAAGAGACATTTATTTCCCTCAGCCACCAAGAAACTTTGATATTCTAGTGAGCCGTAGAAATCAAAGTGAGTGGATAATTTTCATCTTGACACGTGGCAAATTTTGGTGGATTGTTTTTGTGTTTAATTTCCTAGAGCAGTGCAGGAGGAGCTCACTGTTTCCCAGACCTTCGAGTTGGAGTATTCAGAGAAATTGTACCTATGGGCATTGATCCAAAGATAGTATCTTATAAAGAAACTGGTAAGTTGATTTCATGAAAAATAAAGCCTCTCACCCAAGTGAGAGGTAAGTGAAGAATAAAGTACCTTCATCAAAAACATTTCCTTCTGCACAGTGGCCAGGACGCAGGAGAAGCAGATACAGAAGTGGATCTCTTACTGGTAGTCAGAAGTTACTGGCCCAGGTTTTGGTTTGCTAAGTGTTTAGCTCCCTCAGAAAAGTTTAGAATTAACTTTTTGTTTTGTGGGAAAACAGTTCAAATGACTTCAAGAAGCTACCTTGCTTTGGGGTAGGGACATACCTTGTGCTTTAGTCAGGGAGTAAGTTATTAGACACCTGCTAAAGGCAGATGCAAGATGAAACTATATATGGTTAGGAAGGACATTTCAATGCATTAATATATTCATACTTGTTCTAAATACTCTGTAGGTGCTTGAGACTGCTCAGAAATGATACCATATAAAGACGTCAAATGCTTTCTTGTGGTCAGCTTGCAGTAAGAACCAAGCTGTATAGAAGAGCTTCTCATGGAGTCCTCTTGTGGATCCAGTGGATTCTGGTGCTATGGGTGCTGAGAGCTTTTTTTTTTTAGAAGATGCTAGAATCCCACTGAAGCTTACAGTTGAGTATGTACATGTTCCTATGTTAGGGACTGCTGACCTGGCATTACTTGTGTTGACATTAACAGCCATGCTTCTGCCTTTAAAGCAGAGCCGGGTTCTGAATCAGGTTCATGCCACTCCCCTAACAATGCTGCATTTGTTCTCTGCTACCTGTAGCTGCTTAGTGTGGATTATGCCTGATAAGATGTTAATGGCTATGCATCTGTTATGAGGACACTTATGTAGGTGGTAAGTAGCAGCACAGTAAATAGCAATTAGGAGAGCAGTTTGGGTCTTCTATTTCCAGCAAGAGGTTTTGCTGGTAGTACATTTCTACAGCATCTTTTTGTGGTTTTCCCCATCCCTGTTCTTCAGTAGTTTTGGCATGGGATTTTATTTTTCCTCAGTTTTTGGCAGTTTGTGGAGTGCATGTTTGGATATTTCTTTCCTTTTTTTTTTTTCCCTTTTCTCCTATTTCACAGAGTTTTATGGAGATGGTTCCAATTATTTGGCAGGTTGCTTGTAAGGTTATTTTTTAATAAGGTACAGCATTTTGGTGGGAGAGGTTTTTTTGGTTTTCAATAGGTTGGGAGTCCTAAGTCCTGAGAAACCTGAAAGCTCAGAAATTTAGTGTAAATTGAAATTGTACTGAAAGTGATACATGCTTATGGAAATTTTACATTTTTACTTCATTGAAAAAATAGCATTTCTGTATGCTTCTGTATACCTCCAAATGTAATGAAAGCTGAGCAAAGGGGAGGGAAACATTTTTCACTGTTTCTTTTACAACTGCATGGTTGCCGGGGGACATAACAAAGATCATACAGACAGGCGCCTGTCTACTGCTGCTTCTGTCATGTGGAACAGTGTTGTGTTTTCTTTCATTTGCCAATAGGAAGCCAAACATGGATAAACTTGGCTGATTTAATTGGGATGAAAAGTCTGTGAACCATCACAGAAAATTTTTGGTTGGAAATCTGAGGAGAATCTGGATCAATGAGATCATGAGTAACATTATTTTGTAGTTCTGCTTCTCACTTCTTTTTCTTCTGTTTTTCTTTTTTTATTTTTTTTCTATTTTTTTCTTCTTTTTTTTTTTCCTTTTTTTTTCCCTTTTTTTTTTTTTTTTTTTTTTTGTGGTTAAAGGAATCCATTTATCCCCTCAGGAATTTCATAGAGAAGTAGAACAGTATTTGTCTCAGGCCAATCAAGGACAAAGCAATACCATCTTGCTGGACTGTAGGAACTTCTATGAAAGTAAAATAGTAAGTGTTGTTTACCTGCTTCTTGCAGTGTGTTACAGGTGCTGGGGGGAAGCATTTCACATTGTGGCGGTGTAACTTCACTGGAAGAAGAGATTCCATACTCCAGATTGACTGTATTATGTACAAAGTTCAGTTTAGTAATGAATATCAGACACAAGCAGCACAGGACCTGCTCAGCGACACAGCATGGAGCCTGCCTGGCTGAGTACTTACACAGCTTGGGGCAAGAAGAAGACAAAGTGATCCATACAGTGTTAGTAGTGAATACCATATAGCTTGAAGTAAAAGTAGTGTAATTTGTAAGGATGTTCTCCAGCATTTTTACCTTGTCCCATATGTCAAAAAGAATAGGGGCATCCTGCTGTCACACCCACCAGCCCTCCTGCACTGTAGTGGCTCATCCTCTCTCTGACAATTCTGTTCTGCTTAGCTCCCTCTTTTATGTTTGGATGAGAAGAGATGCTGTGTCCAGAATCCTCTTACAGATTTTAACAGGTCTTCTGATGCATAAATGCAGCTGCAGTGAGATGAGTGTTCTGACCCAAAGGTTTGTTATTTCCTCTAGTTCAAGACACAGACATCTACCATGTAAGACTGCTTGTAACCAGTCGCATGGCCATCTGTTATTGCAGGGACATTTCCAGGGCTGTCTGGCTCCAGATATCAGGAAGTTCAGCTATTTTCCCAGCTACATAGATGAAAACCTGGAGCTTTTTAAAGACAAGCGTGTCCTGATGTACTGTACAGGAGGGATTCGTTGTGAAAGAGGCTCTGCTTACCTACGGAGCAAGGTGAGATGTCATTCTGAGGGCATAAGTGTCGGGTAGTTGAGACTGCTTTAAGGGCAGCTGTCTTTCCTTTTGCTGGTAAGTTCTTACTGAGCGCAGACTGCTCAACGAGCAGTTGGGGAGATGAATGTCTCTGACGCACACTCGCTTCGTGCTGTCTGTCAAGGACGTGGGTAGTTTAATGCAGCTCAGGGTGATCTGCATGGACTAGTGTCACAGCAGTGATTACTCTGTGAAAATAATTATATAACCCATTTGCTGAGAAGAGGTATTTGTAAGTTTGCCCTGACATGTAGTGGTGTTTTAGGAGGGCTTGAGAGCATTCTATGGTGTTTCAACAAGCTCTGTTTAGGTTATGCTCTGTGGTCATTACTGCACAGCTTGAGCATCTCAGAGTGGTGAAAATCAGCCAGTCAGTGCTTTCCCAGTGTTGTGAAATTAAATCCAGCACACTGCATTGTTCTAATTGTGCTTCTCATCCCACTCTTCTGCTGGATCCTTCCCTTAAGGAGCAAGGGAACAGCACACGTGTATGTTCTGCAGAGATTCAAACCTTGATTTTTTTTTCTCTGCTGCACCAATGTGAACCCTGAGACATTGTGCCCTGCTAAAAGCTCACTACATAAAAACAGAAAAAGCAGTGGTTCAGAGAGGTTCAAAAGCATTTGATCTGTGATGCAGCAAACCTCTCTCAGCTGAGGAGGTAAACAGCCTTTTTTTTGACTGAAACATTAAATGCGTATTTGGGTTCATGTCAACAAGCCAGCATTGTGGAGCTGCCCAGTAATCCCCGGCACTGCCTAGAGTTGTGAGGGCACATGGTGCCACCTGATGGTCACTCAGAAGCTGCTGCTTTTCATTGACCCCTGATGTTTACATTTGCTTTGGGAACTCTGGCATCCCATTACTACTGCTGTCTCCTTCAGCTTTTCTGCTAATATGCTTTAAACAGGCAGTGTGCAGAGAGGTTTACCAGCTAAAAGGTGGAATTCACAAGTACCTGGAAGAGTTTCCAGATGGATTCTACAGGGGGAAGCTGTTTGTGTTTGATGATCGTTACGCCATTTGTTCCAATGAAGATATCATCTCAGGTAGGACTAGACAATGCAAGTACAGAAGGCTGGGAAGGTATTGCAATCATTTCCACAGAGATGTGCAGGTTAGGGGCAGCCAAACTGGTCTGTGTAGTTCTTCCTCATACTCGCTTTGATCATTTAGTGCCATCACTTTTCATGATGATGATCAACTCTATGGCTTCAACATATAAAACAAATGAGAGAAAAGGGGCTCACTAAACAGAGTTCCTTAAAACTGGGGCAGCAAAAGGAAGCATGCCCTGCGGAACAGATTCTGTTATGAGCCATCTGCAGCTATGGAGATGTATGTCAAGCGCTACTGCTGTTGTTACCCGCTTGTTGCCCACAGTGCTGATCAGACTGTGGTTGGCCAAGTGACCGAAGCATTAAATAGTTCTGCTGTTAGCAGTTCTCTGCTCCAGTGACCTCACAGAACGTCAGCACAGACTGCCAGGCACTGGGAGAGCAGTGGCACTAAGCTCTACTGCACTTTGTTATTTTCATGCTTTAAAAGTTTCTGTAGCCTGTAGAATTTCAGTGACTTCTACGTGAAGTTGTTAAGAACGTTGCCTGGTCTTCTGGCTGGGGTTGCTCTTCAGATACTGCAAATGAAATACCTGTTTTCTTCTTCTCAGTTGCCAGGTACAAATAGATGGAATTTGGCTCTAGCCTTTTTTAGGAAGCAGTGCTGTTTTTTCTCTGAGTGGGTAACTTTTTGAGCATAAACTCCCATTCCTCCTCTGCAATTACTGTATGCATCTTGAAGGTGCCTGGCTTGGTGTAGAAACAGAACACACTCTGGATACATCACAGCCATCCCTACTGAAGTTTCAAGGGGAAGTGCTGGGGTGGGCACCTTCTTGATGCTACAGCTGACCTGGGCTGTAGCTTTCAGTTAAAGGGTTAAAACCTGTCTGATGATGTGGAAGGACTCTACCAGGACTGCAAATGACATGCCATCCAATCTGCACAAGCCTTTAGGTGAAAGGAAGGCCCATGGCACCCCACTCCCCCGCAGGCAACATTCCTGCATAATGGCTTAATTACCACCAGGATATCTTTCTTCTTCTCTGGGCAGCAAGAATCTTTAAATCTGTCTGATCGGAACTAGAGGAAGCACTAGTGAACACTCTCTCTTTGTCTTGAGACACAACTGTCCTAAGTGTTTTTTACATCAAAATCAGAAGTTTAAAAATGAACTAGGTTCTAGAAGATGAACTAAAGCAGGAATTAAAAACCTGAAAGACTATAGATAGCCACTTAAATGAAAGATTGCAGCCGTCTGGTGCCACAGAAACCCTCTGCAAGGGGACAGATGGGGTAAGTGGGTGTTAACTGTTTCTTTTCCTCCTCCCTCCAGCATGCAGATACTGTGGGACACTGTGGGACCAGTATAAACTTTGTTCCAGCCAGCATTGCCGGCAGCTTGTCCTGACATGTCCAAGTTGTCGCAACAAAGGTCTTACAGCTTGCTGTCCTGTTTGTCAAGAGAAAGAGCTCAAGGTGACTTCAAGGGCTTCAGGACAGACACTTAAGGAGGAATGTGAATGTACAAGGAGACGGCCAAGGGTACCTATTGAACGTGTCTCGCAAAGGATGCTGGATGCAGGAAAAGATTAAGCTGTTTCATTAGTTAATCTGACACATGCTAATGCAAAGGGCTTCTACAACCAGATCCCTGTTACTCGATTAGGTTTGGAAATCAGGAAAACGTGTTGGCTTGGAAAGTCTTGTTCATACACTGCCTTTAGGCCTAGAGTATGCCCTGAAAACCATCCATTACTTGGCCGTAAATTACCAGAGTGCCCAACCCGTCACCAGCACTACAGGATTCCTCTCCATGGGTACAGTCTTGTAGCGTGGCGTCTACCATGGGGATTTTGGAGCAGAGTATGTGTGATGGGACACAGCTGCTCACAATTCAAAACAGACTGAAGGGATATAAGAAAAATTCATTCTTTTCTTCTTGCATGGAGATGGATCTGTCCAACCTCTCTGTGATCATGCATTTGCTTCAATAGCTAGTGCTAGGGTGTGAAAAGAGCAGATGTATCAGTTGGGTGTGGGTATGTGACTGGATTAGAGTGGAAGATACTTTCCACGTACATGCCATCTGCCTGCATCTCTTGCTTTATACCTACTGAGAAGAAGTAGTTACCTGAAGCCACTGACTTGACTCTGGTGTAAAACTGGCTGAAGGCAGCATAAGGACCCCTCTTGTAACAAGCAAATGCCCACAGATACTGTCTGCTCAGCAATACTTCTTGTGTGTGACCTGTAGGATGAACAGCAGAAGTAATCCTCATTCCACTGCTCTGTCTCCCCGGGAACTGTTGTTTCCCTCAACTTGTCAGGACAGGAAATATCCAAGGCTCAGTTCTGCTTGCACTAGAAAAAAATTACCGCTTGAAGCATGTTGAAATTGAGACGCACAGAGAGGGGAGCACAGAGACTGTCAAAATACCAGCATAATGGCACTGGAAGCGATAGTGATGCTGACAGGTGTGCATAAATGTCAACAGCATCTGTAAGGAGACTGCAAGATCCTTTATCCAAGATTTGGGGAGCATTTGTGCTTTGTAAACATGGGTTGAGTTTTTCAAAAGCTGTGAGATGTTTATGCAATTTCCAGCTCCTATTAGTGGAGAAATTGAATCTGAAGGCTTCCACAGCACATGAGCTCAAAATACTTTTCCGCTTGCTGCTTTGTGTGCCTGATGTTGTAGAATGTACAGAAAGGTTTTATTAATAGTGTAGAAGATGTGTCTTGACAGAAAAATGTCTTTGAAACTTACTGTCATTCTTGGTACTGAATAGTTAGTCATTAAGAAATCAAAGTAACTTCCTGGTTTGTTGGGGTTTTTTACTGGAAACTACTTTTAAAAGCAGGAAAACAGTTTACTCAGGTTTCTGCAGTTGCTTAATGACAGTTAGGGCAATGTTACTTTCATATAGATTTTAACTTTCTCCCCCAGTGCTATAAATTCAGCAAGGCCTCATTGTTGGCTTGACTAGCAACTTAACAACATGGGCATTTGTTCCATTAAAGCCATGGCAAGCCTTTCTTCTTACTTCCAGTATTGCTACTGTGAAATCAATGGTTCAGCAACTGTCTTTATGACCATTCCTTTCATGAAGCAAAACTTTGAAACTTATGAATGTCTCCTTTTGGAATCTTTCTAGGATGGTATTTAATAGTAAATCTGTGCACAGTGCATACTGGAGAAGAACTTGCAAAATTCCCATCAGTGGACATCTTCAGCAGAAGTCTAAGCAGTACTTGTGGTACTCTGACATTTTGCCTCCCAAGCTTTGCTGGCCAGTTAACCTCTGTGTTTTTGAGGACTGGAATGTTTGTGGAAAAACATGCAAGCTCTACTTGCAGGCCTGGTCTACAGCACTGATGGGAGTGTCCCAACTTGCATATTATGCTGTTTTCTTCATATATTAGGCTAAAAAGAACACAATTTTATAATTCAGTCTGTCAGCAAGTCTGGAACACTCATCTGTTTGGAAAGCGGTTTCTATATCACTTATCAGCATAGAATGGCAACAACTATATTTTATATATAAACTTCTGACACTCCTATGATGATAAATAACCTTTAGTGCTTCCATTGTAATTTTTAAAATACTGCACAAATACAGTTCACCTGTACATTGGAGGTGCTTAATTCTGCAGAGGTAAATGCTGAAACCTAGCTAGCTGTCTGCCACGTGGTAGACCTGGCTACAAGGTACAATTCTCCTGAATGCTCTTGGCAGCTGGAGATTCTACCTCAAAGGCAGAGGGGAGCCATGTGGCCTCTTCTGGTCCTTGCTGCACTAAGGCAAGGGAAGAGAAGGATTTGAGATGTGCAGATGAAGGCACATAAAGCCAGGTTTCCTCTACTGCAGAAAGAGGATGGGTGGGTAAGAGACATCCTTAGCCTCCCTCTTGCAAGTTAGCCCATGAGCAGCTTCTTTTCCTTGCTTCTGTATCAGTTTTGTCAGGTTAATACAAATAAGGACTTGTCACGTGAAATGCTCTGTGCTGGGGTCCAGGCACTTCGGTGGTAATGGCTGAGAGAAGGCATGTTTACCTCCAGGAGAGGTGAGAGTTAAGCAGGATTGGCTGTGAATGCCTGATACTGCAATCAGCAGATGGCTTTTTCCCCTTTTCCTGGAGAGCTGCTGGGATAAATAGTGATCCATTTGCTCCTAAATATTACTGTTTTGTTGCTTCATCACTGCACAGCTTGATGCCTTTCACCACAAAGCCTAATGCTGCTCAACACAGCCTGTCTTTGCTGCACAGCTCTCACGTGCATCTTTCAGCAAAGCAGCTTGATAAGGATCAGCTGAGGAACCTGGAGTGATCCTGCCAGCTTAATATACGTTTGGGCTGCATGGTTAATTTGGATGCTGCTACAGTTGAAACACAGGACAAAATTCTTGCTCTTTTCTGGTTGTGGGTTTTTTGGGGGTTGTTTTTAGGGCTATTTCATTCAGGAAAAAATGCGGTTGTAGTATCCATGGTAGTGCTACCCACTCTGCAGTTGCATCTCCTTGCATGTCCAGGTTTCTTAGCACCATCAGGATTTCCCAGGATAAGATCTATTTATGTTCTTCTGAAGCCAATGGAAGAGCTGAGCCTGTACTATGCAACTTTGAGTGGATGGCTCAGCTGAAACTGTATGGCTTTGGTTTGATGATTTAGTTGACTGTTTTGAAGTCTTCGCAGTGCATATGGAAGAAAGAAGCTGTCTGCTAGTTTCTTTGTGTTTTTCAAAAATTTGCTTTTCAAGTATTTTTCTTCTGTGTTCTTTGCATTTTTTACAGAACTTGCAGGGTGGGGGAAGAAGCTATAGTGAAGCATTTTATTTGACACCACTGGCACATTTATTAAGATTTGAAGAGCAACAAATATGTTTCCCACATTGCTGAAAGTATAGTGTTTCTCTGCTTCGCTGGTCAGAGCTAAATCACATGTGGTATTTGCGCCCAAGCTCTGAAGAAATCTGAGAGACATTTGCTGGAACTTGTGTAAAAGGCTGCAAAACTTCCCTCATAACAGACAGATTTCTAGCAAGTGAGAACATTTTCTAGGAGATGTTGACGTGAGACCAAAATAAGGCTTCAGTATGGCAATGCTTCTGCCAGGAGACTCTGCCTACTGAGCAGGATCCCTCCCAGGTTAATAGCGGGAGTTTTGGATGGGATAGTGCTGGGTCCAATCCACTGCATGTCTGGGAGCTATGCAAACCTGCGGGGAATTCCTCCCAGGCTACATGATGGGTGATAGGCTGTCTGACAAAAAGCTGTCAGACTGTATGCAGTGTAACTTCAGGGTTGGGGGATATCACTTAACAGCTTTTCTAGGGCACAGCATTTGTTGTTGCATTTATGCAGATGGTAGGGACGGCAGCAGGAGAAACAATCCCTAGCAGAAGAAAATTTAATTAATGGACATGGTCATCTAGACAGAACAGTGAAGAGACAGAATTTGACTTGTATCCAGATATGAACTGGAAACATGCTTTTAACATTAGGAAACTGGAGAGAGCAGGGATTAGAAGAGAGGATTCTAGTTTGCTGATTAGTTTGGCCGTCTCTATGGGGTTAAGATTTGCATCACATATCTAAAGGTGATGGTTTTCTTCAGACATGCACAGGATAGGATATTAACCTATCCTAAACAGCTCAATTTTTGAGACTCTGTTTTATAATTGGTGGCCTTACGTTCCATTTAATCAGGGGGTGGAGTTCAATTTTTTTCTAAGAAACACAGGGATGCATTTGAAACAGCATCTCCAACTGATTGACTCAGCAAATGGTAAAAAATTGTAATTCACAATTCTTGAAATTAGCCATGTTTAGAAGTTGTAGAAGTGCTTGTTAAACTAGTTGCTTCTCTATAGTTACTTGAGATCAATTTGAAAAAAAAATAAAGTATTTTTTTAATACTTTTATAATTTGTGTGGATCAGTTGTATCTTTCACTCATGCATACCACATCCTAACTGTATGAAACACTGTGCAGGAAGGTTATAGAAAAATTAGGTCCCAGGTTAATTAAGAGTCACTCTTACACTGGGATGTAGTCTAAACTGAGATTGAATAAAATTGGCTTGAATAGTTTTCAAGTCTACAGAAAACATCAACAGTCCTACTGGATAAAATCTTCAACTACAGCCACTAGTTAATTTAAACTGTTAGTGCATAAACCAGAACCGAGGCACCACAAATACTCTGTCAAGGCACTTATTGCCTTTAGATTTCCACAGTGTAGCACAGATCACCGGGAATGACCTCCATAACCAGGAATTACACTCCAGTTCTGCACTTGGGAAAAATAGGCCCGTTCAACTCTGCAAGTCTTCTCTTCCTCACTGAAAAAGAAGAGGAAGAGGAGTCAGTCATGGCAACACAAGATGTGGATGGCGGGCTTGGCTTACCCACTGCGGAAAGGAGTTGAGATGTACTTTCTGCCAGGAAAGAAGCAGGATAGCATCAGCTTCTGAATTCCTGCTCTAAGCAGCAGGCATAGCCTTACGCAGATTAAAAATCAAGGAAGGTAAGAGGAAGTTTCTGTCCCTGTGAATTTTTAAGGCCAGAAGCCACTTTCAGCCTTACCTCCCTTATTCTACAGTCAATTATATTTCACATAGTTTGTCTTTGTTATCTGACTTTGGCCAAAGCATCATCTGATGCTGACTAATGTAAAGACAGCAGGAGACAGATGCTACAGTTTTTCCTTTGCTA